CCCCCCTTGATGGTAAAGCCTCTTCATTTGGGGCATCAGCTGGATGCAGCGGCTGCAAGTCTGGAAGGTGGGCTGCGGTGCAAACAAAGCAATCAGAGGACTTGCAAAACCACCTGCGGGTGTGACGTTTTTGGCACGTTTTTGGTGTCAAATCTCCAACCTGTGCTCCAGAGTCCCTTCATTCGAGTTGTGAGATGTAGTGGTCATGTGGGGGCTGGAAGGCAATGAAATTCGGCGTTTGGCTCCCTGATGGGAGCATTGTGATTTGGTTTAGGATCAGCACACCGCTGGCAGGCATCCAAGACTGGTACAGTAGAGCTTAGTAGAGCAAAGTTGGACCGCCCTCAGGCCCTCAAGAGAGCACGAGACACTTATCTCCCAACGCAGATCGTTGCCTTGCACGCTTGCCAGCCACAAGCGTGCCCCCATGCCCAGCCTTCTAGAAATTCGATAGCTTCGGCAGCAGGGCCTGGCCCCCTTCCATGGCAAGCAGCAGGCGCACCGTTGGAGCATGGGGTTGAGTATTTTCTCAACTTTCAGCTGCTTCTACTCAGGAAGGAAAACCAGGGTGAATCGCGGTGAGTCTGCAGTTTTTCTTTGTTTGGCTGGTTGCCCTCGGTACGGAACACTCTTGGAGTCAAGCTACTGCGCTATATATACATGGAAATGCCAAGGGCCAAAGCCTTGAAGCATTAGGAATCTGAGCGAGGGGCCCTCGTTTTGCAATTCCTGCAGGGGATCCTTGAAATCGGTGTTGATCGCATGCCTCAGCTGGAAACGGCTCGTGCGTAGCCACAGGGTTCTGTGGCTAGCTAGCCTTCACAATCTAAGCAGTCATAGGAGAGGCAAGACTCTCCGGCATGCTGAGTTGAACAACTCGGGTGCAGTTAGATGAAGCCTGTTCTGCACCGATTGTCACCGCGCGGAAAAGACCAGGTGAAGCCGGGCTCCATGAAGTATCAGCTGGAGGTGCGTGCAGCCGGGGCCGAGACTTGTGGGATCCAAGTTCAGAAGTTGGAAAGGTCCGGTGAGAAGGTGTCCAAGGGTGCCCAACGGCCTACACTACAGTACACTGCAAGTACTACATATATAGATCTCTGTGGGGTTTGGATGGTCCAGGTAGCAGAACAGTTCAGGTTTTTACAGTCAAGCCTGCCTGCCAAAGAACGCAGAACCCCCGAGCTCCCCTAAGGGGGTAGAAGCAACAGCGTAGGGCCACAGGACAGCCCGAACGGTCCAACCTTCCATGGGATCCTTGCTCCGTCTAGGACACTTCGGTCGCTTGTTCCCGCTCCCTTGGGCAGCCCCGCCATTGGGGTGGGGGTGGCGGGTGCGTTTCCGTGGCCAGGTGCAGATCCTCGCGGCGGAGGGGCTGCGCAATGCGGATTGGCTGAGTTCGGGCTCCGATCCCTACTGCCTTGTCACGGTAGGGTGCTCAGTTGGTCTCACGGTGCGTTGCATGGTGGTCGTTGTGTGGTCGGGGCGACAACGCAGACGTGGAGAGACCGTGACCATCTCCCGTCTACAAGCTGTTTTGCTTCCCCACTCTCCCTGCGCAGGTCAAGAAGGATCCAAGCTTCCGGATGTGCATGGATGTTCAAGTTGCGCAATTTGATTCTTTTTTTGCGTCAAAGGTGTTTTTTCGAAGCACAAGCACGGGCATGTTATTCAGGAAGTAAGTGTGGGCATGTATGGGAGGTGTGCTGGAGTCCGAGTGGAGTTCGACTGGCTCCGTAGGGTCTTGGTGCTCCTCCACTCCTTTTGCTTCTTTTCCCGTCCTGGTTCAGTCTTCTGCGAGTGTTGGGCCACTCAAATTGAGTGGAATCGACTCCAACAACTCCCGGTCTGTCCACCCCACACGACACCCCACCATCGTCTCGGTCTTCGGACACGTGACAGCTGATCCGGTCAGGTGAAAGGCAAAGGAACCGCCACGGTCAAAACGAAGACCATCAAGAATGAGCACAGCCCCTTGTGGCTTGGCGCCGATCCCGATCGCGGCGAGTCGGGTCACTGAAGGGTCGGGCTTCAGACTGACATAGACGGACCTCGAATCCAAGTGACCTCTGTTTTGATAGGAACAAAGGGCCATCATACTGGGTGGTCCAGAATAGAGGTCACGACCAGGTTCCAGGTAGACATGGGTGCAACAAAACATAGCCTGAAGACTAGATGCAAGATCTGGCGTATCGTGGGACATGTGTTCCTGCGCGCAAAACAGCCATTCAGTCAGACGAGGTATGGTCTTGGACTTTTGGCATACTTGTTATATATCCTGTATGTTTCAGGGAACTCGGCAGGCCTGCCACAACATACATGCATATTTTAATATACTGCATTTTCACATGAGCTCCGCATGCCCAGCTTTTGTCCAGCCTTTGCCTTTGCATCGAGGTGGAAGCACACGGACACCATCAACGACTTCTATCACGGCGACGCCTTGTCGATCCAGGTGCGCAGATCGGTTCGACTGCCAGACAGGTTTCCGAAGACCTGTCTCACCAAGAGAGGTAGCCAGTGACCGTAAATAGGACCCTACTGAGGTACCTATGGGATAGTCTATAGATGTCTATAGGGTTCTTCAACCTCTGTTGGTAGGTTTCCGGGAGACGGTCATGATTTCGGGATCTCGGTTTTTCTGCCCTGCCCTGCGCTGCCAGGTGAAAGATGCAGACAGGTTGAAGCATGATGACCTGCTGGGCCAGGTTCAGCTGCTGCCACTCGGCCGGACTTCCAACGACGGCTGTATCCCATCGGCCTTGGGCCTCAGCCTCTGAGTGTTTTATTCTCCATGACGTGTGGCATACACGGAATGCTGCATACTGTATGTCATGTACTTTTCTTCAGAGTCTGTACAGTACCAATCTTTGTGTTGTTTTTCGGCTAGTCATGGCACTGGTGCACCTTTTTGACACCGACTTAAGCCCCACACCACGGTTCCGGACACTGGACGGACGACTTCCCTTCCTTCCGGACGACTCTCTGGACGGCCGAACTTGCGGTCCGCCCTCCGGTGGCACCGTTTTCTCCTCCAAAGAGCGGCGAGTTCGTGAGAACGGTGCGTCTTCGGTTCTTCTTTTGGTTTGGCCGCAGTCAGAAACACTCGGACCTTGGCCCAGACATCGTGCTGCCTCGCAGTCGAACTGGACCTGGAAATCGAAGGTCTTCGATGTCGAGCCCCCCCGCGACCCCTCGCTCACCTTGCCCGTGCTCAGGACGGAGCAGCTCATCCCTGACGGCTTCGACGGGGACTTGAAGCTCCGAAACACAGGCGGCGTTGGGAGCACGGTTTGGCGCGTTTTGCGTGGGTTGGGCAGGGGTGTGTGGTGGTTCCGATGGAGCCAAGAAAGACGCCCGGTGTGTGGGTCACTTTGGATGACGTTGTGCAGGTGGTGCAAATGCGGATCAAAGCCATTCAACGTCCCTTTCATCGATGCAAATTGAAACCTGTGGGCAGCACATTGCCCACTCTCATCTCGAATGGCCTGGCCATTTGTGGCATGACCCAAGGAGGAGTTGGGAGTAATGTAGGTGATCCCCTGGCAGCCCTGACTGCGCACGTGGCTCCTTTTGGAAGGGGCCACCCTTCCCGAACCTATCCCCATCTATCCCCCCTCAAGTTTTGGTGGCCCAAGAAGGGTTCCTCCAATCCCTGCCGCGAAGGTTGGAAAGATCCTGAGAATCATCCAGTTTTCGACTCTCGGCGCGTATGGCACGCGGGCCGGGCCTTTGGTCCATCCCTCAATACATGGAGGTCCGGATCAAGTTGTTGGTCCAGCAATCCGGGGAAGACGTGCCAGAGGATCCCAGCGCCCCCAGGCTCAGCGCCTGCCGGCTCGAGCTGTCATGGATAAGCGCCCGGAGCGCAGCCGATGTCAGGTTCTTGAACATCTTGAACCTGCACTCCAACCATTCAAAAGAGTTGATGTTGTTTCAAGTTTTTGTTCTGAAAAGGATGCCGTGTTGGCTCATGCAAAAAACTGGGACGTGCCCAACAATGCCCAGGACATCCCACCCTAAATTGCCCCAGGGAGGGCTCTTTTCCTTGACCAACAGGGGTGTCTTCTACCAAACCATTTGACGTGTCGTGTTCGTCGAAGCATTTCCAGTGGGTTCTTGGCATTTTTCGGGTGGCTTTGAAACTCATGTTCGTCCTTCATCCGCCATGATATCAAGGCTTGAAACCTTTTCCAACTCATTCGTTCCCTCACTCAGTTTGGTGGCATCTCCTCAGTCCGAATCGGCCGCTCGGTCATCCCAGGTGACGCTCAGCATCCGAGTTCTCTCCCGCCCCTCCGCAGTCGACCGGGGACCGGTGGGGGACGGTTCGTTTGGGCGCCGTGGGGCGTTTGGACAAAGCCGCCACGTTCGATGTGTGGGTGTGCGTGCTGAGGAGTTCGGGTCAAAAAATATTGAAAGGATACAAGCAAGCCATTTGTATAACTACAGATTCTTAATGCTTCAAGACGTGATTCTTCTGTATCTTCTATCAGATTCTGCAACATATCAGTTGTGCACTCCTCCGGGGGCTCCTTGGGGTTCCTTCTTTTTGGGACCTTCGCCGATCCGCTTCAACCTTCCAGCAATCCAGAGGGTCTCCCCTTCCAGAGGTGGAGGGTTCGGACCACCGCTTCCACCCCAAAGCCAAGCACAAGGCGTCTCCTCCGGTGCTGACATGTTTCCTTCGACGGCAGAGGACTTGCTTCATGAATGTTCACGAGCTGTTTATCATTTTGGTTTGCCAGTGAGTCATTTCATTGCTCTCCGCACCGATTCCTGCCCCAGTGAATAATTTTTTCTTACGTTTCATTATGTTTTCCTATGTAGGATTCTGTGAATACATATTTTCAGCATGGTTGATGAGCTACCCAATGACCGGGCACCCAGCTGTCATGAATGACGTTACGGCCCCCTCTTGTCCCCCCCGCGGCCGTGGTTGGATTCGCCAACCGGCGGCGGTGGCACAACCGGGTGTGAGCGGGGGACGTCCCGAGGTCAAAAGGCGGAGTGAGCCCCTCGGAGAGTGATGACCCTTTTCGTCCAGTCCCAGGGCGCAGGGCACTGTCCCGGACGAAGAAAAGACGAGTGTGAAGATGGCGGAGATTGATGTTTCAGGTACGAATCGTACGAAGTAAGTCATCATGACGGTTTCAGATGCTAAGTCAAGAAGGTTACCCGTGCTTTGCCTAGAGAAGAGTTGGTGGTGTCTTTCGAACACATTCGCAGCACTGGAACTTGAACAGCAAATCCAAGCTATGCGTTTTCAAAGGCAGCGCCAGTTTGATCTTGGAGTCGTGGGACACATGGCCAGGCCATCCATGAAAACAGGTCAAGCTGATATAGTGCAGAACGGCAAGAGGTCCGGAGATCTTCTCGTAGTTATATAGTAGATGGATATTGATGGATGTAGATGGACGAGGCAGCTTTAGATGGTGGCACTTACCAACAACCAGCACCCAAAGGATGGCCTGGCTCCGCTGGGGAACCTCAGTGCCGCCCGCGTCTTGGGCGGTGAACACCGCCGAAGCCCCGTGGGAGCGGAGGTTGTTTTTCCTGTGAAACGATGCAGGTTCTCGCGAACGCGAGGGCCAGATGCGAGCGCAGGCGCAGACGCGTCTACGCGAAATGATCGGGGTGTGGGCCAAAAGGACCAGCCAAAAATCCATAGCAGCCTCAGCACTTCTGTCTTCTTACCATTGCGAGATCTCATGGACTTCAAACACAGGATAGGAGGGTGAGCGGAGAACACCAAAACACAATGCTGGTTCCCGCTTGCCCCTCGATGTCCGCCATGTTTGCCTATGCCCCGCCCACTCGCCGGGTGAAATAGATCCTTCCTTGGTGCCACTGGGCCCGCACGGCGGTTTTTCAATCCCGGACAACGCCTCGTTCGGAGACAAGGCCTCTGGAGCTTTTTTTTGGAGACATTGCTGGGCTGGCTTCATCAATGAAGTTGACGGCTCCATCCTATAGGCTTTCAAGAGCCACTTTCGAAAGGGTGCTCACAATCTCACACGATCCTTTGGAACGCCAGCGCGCAACCCAGGTAGCTGGGGCGTCCAAAAACAAAGCGAGCTCCCCCCAAAGGGCCCCTTTCTGTTGAGGGTTGGAATGGTTTCCTTATGTTCCTTCAACTTCGAAGCCGAAGCAAATCGGGAGCGAGCCATTACTACTAGTAGCAAGAAGCTACTAGGATGGAGGCCATCGCTAGTAGGTTGGAGGCCATTACTGCTAGTAGCAAGAAGCGACTAGTAACAAGGAGATCCCGCCCGCGTGGCACTGAGTGGGTTCCAAAGCTTGCCCCGGCAGACCATGCGCCATCGCTGCAGCTGACCATGGCTGACCTAAACCAAGTCACTTAAGCGCTGAGAAAGACCACGTCCGGACGTGACGGCCGCTGTGCCGGGGGGGGGGGTTGGCAAGAATGAGGGTCCGACTGAGGAGAGGGCACCCCAGAGTCAGTACGGAGGGTTCTC